ATTATTATTATTATTTATTTTTTTAATTGAAGAAATGATTTAAATTTTTCCCTCATCTCCCTCCCCCGCTATCCTCTGGTAACCACTAGGCCATTGTCCATGTCCACGAGGGTGCTGTCTTTCTAACCTGAGCACAGTGTTACTTGTTCTGACTTCCTTTGGTGACTGACTGCTCCCAAGACATTAATGTGTTTCTGTGTATTCTGCTAAGGATAGGATTTTTTTGTTGTTGTTATCATTTTTATTGAGGTAAGAGTCACATACCATAAAATTAACCATGTAAAAATAGACAACTGAGTGTATTTATTTTCATATGCCTTCCCCATTCATTCATTTATTTGTTCATCCATTCAGCAAATAATTATTGAAAGCCTATTATAAACCAGGTACTATCTAACATGCTAAGGATATAGTTGTAAACAAGGATATATCTGTCAAAATTCCCATGAACACTAAGGTAGGGAGAGATAAATAAGATAAATAAATAACATTATGTTGGTCAAGAACTTGAGAAAGGAATACAGAGGTGCACTCATTGGCCTCTCGCACGGCCCCACATGACTGATGCCAGAGTTTGCAATCCCATAGCTCGAAAAGGTTACCTTTTTCTTCCATCTGGATTGCTGCTTGCAAGCAATAGACAGGGACTCTGGCCCTTTTATGTATAGATGGGATTAATAAAACAGTGGAGGTATTCACAAAACAGAGGTGCAGGTTCGACATGTAAACAGGAGACAACGGGGCTTCTGGGAACTGCTAGCAGGTGTAGCCCCCGACCGCGACCATGCATTGCTACAGCTATTGCTGAAACCTCACAGCTCCATAGCAATTCCTGCAGGGTCGGAGCCACAGGAAGGGGTGGGCATCTTAACGGTGGAGCTGAAGCTGTGCGCACGCGCTCTGTCAGGGACAGAGTAAGGAAATTACTCGCTTTTTTCAATTTCTACAGTGAAAGGTATGGATCTGCTTCCCACTGAGGCCACCTAATGAGATCATTTAAAAATCAACTGGTTGGGTATTGGGCTGCCTGCCTGGCCAAAACAGACATACATCCATTATATTAAAACTGTGTTATTTCGTGCACCTTAAATCCTGCTAATCTTACTTTTCTATTTCTCTTTTTCGTAAGAAATGCTTAGGCTGATTTTTTTTCCCTCTTTTAATCTGATGGCTAGAAACTGGGGGGAAATGCTATTTTAACACTGCAAGTACTTTTGTCTCCTGACAGATGGAGATTCGAATTAAAATCTGAGGCAAACTGTCCCTTCATTTTCTGGGGGGAGAAAAGTTCACTTCCTTCAACAGCACAGCACCCATTCCAAGTACAGATGTTTCTCGCAGACCTATGTCTAAAGAATTAGTTGGGGTGTTAAGATAAATGTTTCTTGTTTTCTATAAGGAAACTGTTCTGTCTTTATATTATTGTTAGTTTTTGTGGAGATATGTATGTGTGTGTATGCATGTGAACTTGAACTCAAGTTCAAGCACTTTCTCAGAGGAAAATTTGGGAACAACGACTCTAAAAACTGAAGAAATATAATATTTACTGAGAGCAGACCAAAAATTGGAAAAAGGATCTAGAAATATAATGTTCAACACAGGGTATTGTTTAAAAGGGAATGACAGTTTAGAAAATATACTTATTTTGGACAATGTTGGGTGTGGCTATCTTTTGGAGGCCCCAGGAGAAGACCATAACGGAGTGGGTGGTGAGTAGGCTCCTCTCAGGAGAGGGCACGTCTCACCAGCACCAACCCAGCCACCACTTCATTCTGACGCGGCCACTGCCACATGCCACATGCACTTCTAGCTTCAGGAGCCCAACCTTAACAGCTGCTGCTACCTCTGCTGTGACTAAAGAAAGAGCTGCCTCTCTCTCCCTTCCCTGTCATGTCCCTGGCTCCTGACACAACATCTGACATGAGGGTTGCTAAGTGGCAGAGCCCAGGTGACCTGACTGTACTCTAACTGCCAGGCAGACAGAGCAACCCGGTCTGCTTTAGAGGGAAGGTCTTTGCCCACACTCCCCATCCCTCGCCAAGGTGGGGGATTCCCAAACATGGGAAAG